AGTACATCATCAATGCACGTTGTCACCAGCATGTGATACTGAGTCGGGCATGTAGGTAGGTGGCTGGCAGGGTTATTGAGTCGTCGCTTTCAGATGTTGTCTGTTCATATTTTGTTTGTTGCGGTTGCACCCGACTCAAGAACCGCATAGCTCACAGGGCTATACCTAATAAATGAAACTTGAAAACTTGACCTGTACACCAGTCACGTGGTTAATGGCGACTCGGTTGAGAATTGCTGTGTGTGACACCACGTGCTGTTGCGTTTTACAGATTATGACAATAAATGTGTTTGCCCTCGATTTGGAGTACCTGCCCACGTCCTTCATTTCGAGTGTGCAACACTACAGTCGTGATATTCATTGTCAGCCCTCTTCCCGTGCTACTCTCCTTGCTCGAGTATATTCTACTTAGTGTTTATTTTCATTTCAACCTTTTAGACATATTATGCTGATTCAACTTAATATCGATCTTTGTGTGTGTTTAAGTATATCAAGTATATCTTCTACCGTTGAGACAAGGCCATACAATAGGCTCTCTCCGGGGTAGGACAATGCATACATTGTCTAAGCATGTTTGTTTGCAAGTTTTACCACGTGTGTGTGTGTGTGTGGTTAATGCAGACTCGATGCCTTGTAGTAGGTGTATATTTGATGTTTGAACATCTTAACGCCTGTATTTTGTTTTTTTGCCAGAAAGGGTGAAGCCAATTATTTGTTCATCTTGCTCTCATCAGCTTACTACACTTGAGGGGCATCTGCCTGAACCCCCACCCAGGACCTCAGCAGTGCCAGCTCAATGGTGCTAGTTCAGTGCGATGACCTCTAAGCCACCCGGCCAACTCTGACGAAATGCTCTACAGCTAGATGTGACCTACAATATGTTGAGTAAACTATGGACAACGAGTCAAAACTTATTATTGTAAAAGTGAGATCTGTTTATTTGCTGAATTGAGATTGGCTGTGTCAATGCAGGACCGTGAGGATAATGGCATGGGCAAGTCTTCATCCAGCAGTGGATAAATCGTAGCTGATGACGATGGTACAGTATTGGGTTGCATTAATGTAAAATAAAGCGCTAAATTTTAGTTTGTGGAAAGTTATAAGATCCACTCTCTTTTAACCACCTTATACGTTCAACTTTGGACCCTGTACACCCAAGATTTAAGACGCTTAAGCTTGTTTTAACTTTAATAATGTTAAGCATGTTCTGAAGGCAGATTCAAAGGTTATGGAAGTCATGAAGATTTATGGGATATGTTACTTTAAGGTTATCTCAAGTACCTGACTAACACGACTCTGTAAAGGTGGTGTTTAGTACTGACTGGGGTGGAAATTGATGAGCAGATTACAAGGTAAGATGATCTTCCACGTCTCTGATGTCCTGTGCTGTTGTTTATGGTATATTAACTGCGGTAATATGGTTACATGCACATACTCATTTACAGAAGATCACCATTGGGAACTAATAATAAGCATATTTTTCGTTTTACACGTAGGCTTTCGCGACCAATATCATCCATAATAGAGAATTAATAATACGCATCTTTCCCACAGCCTGGAAAAAATGTGACAATGTCATGTGAGTGTTCTCTTATGAGTCTGGTATTTTACAATATATGGAGGTATTTATCAAAAACACCATAATATTTAAAGTGTTTTTTGCGTGTTCCATATTGATCTACAGCAGGTTGTGGGCACCCCGAGTACTGTATTGATTTTCGTGTTGTTTTTTTTTATCACAGAGCACACATTTTTTAACTGATAATATCCATCACACGTATTTTATTTCGTCTTCAATCGTATGTACTATTTCCTAAATGTATTCGTTAAAATATAAAGGATGTTATTACTTTTTCAAATAATTTTTGGAGAAAAATTATCCGTTTTTGGAAGGAGGTATTCGATATATTTTTTTAATCGAACCTATTTATTTTTCAAACAAATTAAAACTGAACAGCTTTTTATTGTACTGATCCGCAGCAGGTCTCTTCACATGATCCTCAGTGGTCCGCGGTCCAGATGTTTTTTTTCGAATACTGTGGTCAGGAGAAACTGGCAATCAAATACAACGTAGTCTCCGCAACATACAGGCACAGCCCTTGTCAATCCATTGTTGGATGTGCGTTGTTTGAGCATACTTCACCACGCTAGCCAGTGCAGGTTCGTGAAGGTGAGTGCGGCATAGACATTGGAGCATAATACAGTGACAACTATGGCTTTTGATACATTACCCTCTGCTGACATCACCTGATGTCGCATGCTCGTCGCCCGTCCAAGCACTAGCCAGTCTCACAGCCCGACTTTGCTTTTCAGATCCCACGTCAACCGGCACCTTGCGGGTCATTTCATCAGAGGCACCTCCGATTAGCACGGCTGGCTACGTACGCTGCGAAAGAAGTTCAACATACCATACAAATATACGTACACAATACGTAACATGTGCATACAAATATGCAATTTAAAGTGCTAATGAGTTTTACGGCTTCCTTGCCTTCAGCGTAGGGTGCGATCTATGAGTCAAGTTTCTGTTCACTTTTTAAGAATGCCATGACAATCTCTTCGCCCCCGTGTCAACATGTACGTCACTCACCTGGTCTTTCTTTACACCCTTTCTGGGAAATAATGAAGACTGTTTTCCGCTTTTGAATCATTCACGAACTTACGACCACAAGGGAATTCAGATCTTAAATTGCTTCCCCTTGAGTGAGGTTCACGAGATACGAGAAGTTGTAAAGAAAGAGGCAAACGCCATACTTCACCACGCCGGTCAAGTGTGGGTTGGTGAAGGCGGGGAGCATAGTTATACGGTACAATTTTTTATTTTGCTACACTGCCCTCTACTGCACGGTGGTCACCCATCCCGAGCACGGTCCAGGCTCATGTCTGCTTAGCTCCCGACACGCAACGAGATGGGGCACATTCTGGGTGATTTGGTCACAGGTTTGGACGGTGTCTGTGTGCCTTTTAAGAAGCGGTCACTGGCAAAGTTGTTGGCGAAACGCTTCTGATTAATGTTAAGGGGGGGGGGGGGGGGGGGGGGCATCCTTGATTCGAATACAACATGGCTTGAGAAGCCATCATCACCACTACCACCACCATAATCACAACGATCAAATAAATGGTACGTGTATATTAAATAGTTTTAGATTACGCGCACGAATAGGACAATACACCCATGGCACCTGAGTCTGCCCCGTGCCCTCCTGCCGGCAGGGAGCCTCGACACTTCACGTGGCCTCGAAGTGCTCCGAGCGTGGCACAAGGGCCGTGGTCACGTCGCCGCCACTTAGTGGCGAACGGCGGTGGTGGTTCTTGTGACCGGTGGCGCAGTGGTTAGCGCGCTGCCCTACGAATTCGATTCCCGCTCAAAACCAACATCGGTGACGGCTCTCTGAGCTAGCGGACATCTGTAAAAAAAAAAAGAGCTTAATCGCTCGTCAGATTCCTCCAGTCTAACTAAAGATTCTGAGTGTGAAAAATAATTCTGAAACGTACCGGGTCCTCTCCTAGGTCGACTCAACCTTAAACGAGCACTTGTCCGCTGTGTGTGTGCATCAACACCGGGAGAACTAAGGCCGCGGTGTGTGGTGGTGCTGCTCGCTAACAGCACTTGCCCCAAACAGTCGGTGGAGGCGACACGGGGAGTCGTTGTCCGCGCGTCATCTCGGCGCGTGGCGTCACCGCACGGCTCAGCTTCTTGCGGCGGAAAACAACAACAACAACCAACAACAACTAACAACAACCAACAACAAACAACGGGGTGATGTAGCAGACGAGAGGTAGCTTGCGTGTTTAGTGGCTGTGGGCTCTTAACCTCAACAGCAGCAGCAGCCTCGCGCCGCTTTTTGGTTCTCAATCATAACTTTTTATATATGTTAATAAATACATGGGGTTTGACGAAAGGAAGTCAGTTGCTACTTAAGTGCCCCGCGCTCCATTTGTGTTTTCGACTATTTATCTTCTAATCAAACCTGTCCGTGTCTCGCCAGCCCCCCCCTCTCCCCCAGAAAGGGCATCTCGCACCCCCTGGGTCTGAGAATCTCCGAGTCGGATGAACGCCGCCTTCCTCTGAATGACCTCCGCCCTTCAAACTCGTCCACCCACACGTGGTTGAGACGCTGCTGTTTGTATCCAGCATCGACCGGGGGTCGGAAACCTGTGGCTCTCTTTAAGGACCGATTCGTGACGTTGTCCGCATACCTTTGTGGCTTTTTCAATATTGAGTTGTGGTGGAGTTGTTTTTTACCGAATCCGTAAACACAAATGCGTCTTCTTGTTATTGCGGGTTGCCCACGCCCCCTGGTGTAGACCACCAGAGGACGCTGGCGATGTGGCACGGGAGGAAACGGGCGCTTCCACATTGTTTCCAGCAAGTGGAACTTGGCCTCACGCTGTGCTACGTGGCGGTAATCATTGTGAACAGCTCAGGGCTTGCCATCGCAGTGAGTTGGGGTCCAACGACGACAGACGAACACTGGGGAGGCCCTTCACAGCAAGAGTTTGACAAAAGGACTGTACACCTCCCCCCCACCTCCATGCATAATCAGGTTTTCGTCATTACTTTTCATCATTAAATTACATTTCACGTTTTCGCATTAATGTGTATCACGTCGACACCTTTATACAAGGGATCATGTTTGCAATAACCACAACACAAGCAGTCAAAATGCAAATAAAAAAGAGAACTAGTATGCCTTTTGGCGTCATGTGGTCCAACACCAGTGGAGACTAGGCTCTAAGAAAAGCCGTCTCGGGTGTGGACCAATCAACTTCAAGGACAGTGCATATCATTATCAGTTGTTTCTTTTTGTTTGCATTTTGACTGCTTGTGTTGTGGTTATTGCAAACATGATCCCTTGTATAAAGGTGTCAGTTTTGGTGCCAGATAAAAGGGTAAAAACCTATTACTAGATCTTGCTACTGGCAAAGGAGGTCTCATAGTGTATCACGTTGTAGTTGTTTTTTTTTGTGGCTGGAATAAGGCAAGACAAGGAGCACCGTTCATTTGTACATTTTAAAACATGCAAGTTTATTTAATTAAACCAACATTTTCAAAACGCCCACAGCAAGCTGTGTTGGTAAACTGAAGGTGTGCGTGTGCATAGTTTCAAAAACGTGTCAACAAAGCACCCCGTTAGTTTTCACACGCCATCGCAGAGAAATTAACCACAGAGAAGCACAAATCAGGCATGCACCAGGAGATAAAAACACATCAGGATTCAGAACCGACCACGAGAAGTTATTCATGTGGAATTCAAATATCTTCAACCCTGTCGTTTGTGCGGCCAAATGTGAACCATCCATAGAAAACACGCTAGTTTGAAATGTAAACGTTAAATTATAGTCGTGTACTCCCCTCCCACACGCGCGCAAATAATCAGCCATTCGAGAAAGACGTACACCACTCTAATTGTACCAGCAGCTGTAGCCTTAAGAAAAAACAGTAATTATTGCTCACTTAACCGAGCATCCGAAATTCAGCAATCGTACAGTTTTGGTCTACTTACAATTGTGCATAAGTGATACGGTTAATTCAACAATGCTGTCGCAAGGTAAAAAAAACCCCGAAAAAATGCTGGTCAACACATGGTTGTAAGTTCATTAAAAAGGTTGAAGCTGCTGCAAATGTTATAAAAGGCAAATTAAAATCCTCGTATGGTTAATGCCCAAAGTCTAAGCACAAAGATTCCTCAGCTGTGCAAATATCACCAGAAGACATCCTCCTAAAGTAATTTAAATAATCACCATGTACTAGAAACAGTCAGTACTACTTACGACTGCCACTAATAAAAAAAAGTTAATTTCGACCAGCGATCAAAAAGGCACAACAATTTAATGATAAAAACTCAAAGTACAGACTAAAAAAAAGAAATAGGAAAAATAATTATTTTTGCCTGCGAAACATCCTGGAATATGCGGCAAAGGCGTAAACGATAAAGGCAGAGCACTAGTGGAATAGGACCCGAACCTGGTCTGGGTTTAACTCGTGAATTCTTCCCTCCACCGCAAGTCAACTTAAACTTGGCCACTTACAAGAATTAAAGGATTTCAAAGCAAGCGTTTCACATTGACGAGCAACACAGGCAAAAAAAAAAAAAACTTAATATTTGGGGAAAACGTAGATCAGGGGCAGTAACGGCTGCAGCAATGAGCCCTATCGTGAAGAATAATTATTTCGAGCAAAATGTTTGCCGTGCGTTGTTGTTCTGTTCGACGAAATGTCTTGCACCACTCGGCCGCCGTTCCCGTGCTTGGTCACGTGCACGGAACGACGGACTGTTGGGGGCCCGAACACAACCTCCTTCTAGAAGGGCACCTCCCACGACTGCTTGGCCATCATGATGCCGCGCTTGAGCTGCTCGTACGTGACGAACATCACCACGTTCCAGGAGCCCAGGCGCAGGAATGACGGCACAAACCTGCAAGCGGCGCGCACGCACGGAAAACACGCGCGTCAAGCAACGCGAGCCCACAGCCATGCGAGAGGAAAGGGGAGTCACTGACAGATTTAGATCCAATCTCCTGCCCCCCCCCAGCTCCCCCCAATCATTGGGAGCCAAGAGGATCAAGTGACGTGTTAAACCAATGCAAGACAAGGTGCGATCAAGAAGCCATTTGTTGATCATCATGTACGCAATTTCTGTTAGAATTTGAAAATGTTTAATGACTAACGCTTTCATAATAAACAAAAATACCTTATTAATTTGAAACACCGACCTCAACATTGGGTGTGTGTACATGTAAATATTAAAAATGTGAACAATGACATTTTATGACAGACATATCCGAGGGAGCGTCTCTACATCCACTTTCATCGCGCTTGTAGCGGAGTATCTGACATGGAGGTTCTGCGCCCTCTGAAAATTGGTATGAAGCATATTTAATAAGAGTACAATTGGCATGTAATGATTTAGCATCCCCCACCCCAATCAATTAAGTTATCTAAATACGAGCATTAAATCTTCTGTTTTGTATTGTATAGTTTGGCTTTCGCCAGGTCTAAATTGAGATTTTGATTTATTGTTTGTTCCCAAGCCAACGTCGCGCAAATTGTAAAGAAAGTGTTCTGTACGCACTCAATTTCATACAAGTAGAGTAATGTGTACTTAAGAATCGAGCGTGAATATTTTAAGAAAAATGTACGTGTCTACTACCTACCACTACGGGGGGGGAGCCGTGTCAGCTGGGAGTTTAAAGATCACGTCACACAAACCATCGCGGCGAGGGCAGGTGCTGCCGATGACCCGAGACGAACCCCAAAGTCCACTTTACGCTCTTACCCTTTGTAAAAAGCCATGGCTCCTTCTTTAGTCAGCATGAGGTAGGCACAGTTGAAGGCACTGCGATACTGGCCGGGGGCAGAGTTCATGTACCGCGTCTTCACCACATCCACGGGCGAAGCCACCACCGTGGTGCAGAAACCCGCTCCGAAGGCGGACACGAAGTGGCAGGGCAGGTTGTCTGTGAGAGACAGAGGTGCGGGAATGAGATTGAGAGGGCCAGGCAGCCCGGTTGAGTGGCGCGCTTGACAAGTAAACCGGCAGGCGAAACAATAATTAAATGCAGACCATGCACCTGCAGTGGGGTGGACAACATGTGTTACGTGCATCCTTGCCGTGGAACTGGGATGTGTCCAAAAATAATAACAGGAGGGTCCCGAGTCACTCATGTAAAAACATGCGAATTAACACACATCGCTCGCAATATGTGCATGTGAGATTTGACGCACGATTAAATTAAAAATCACATGCCTCGGGTTAGGTTTCATGCAAACAAAAAATTGTACGAATAAGATACAACTAAATATGAAAAAAAAACATGAAGCACCAGAAGATATTAAATTGATCATTCATTTCGAAATTGCAACTGCCTAAATGAGCAAATTGCATAAAATATTTTGTCAAGTGGGAGGGGGCGGGGGGCAAATCACACATGCTTGGCATTAGGTGTTCCCTTCGTGTCAAAATACCTTTGTCCAAAAGGGGTTTCGGAACATTTTAAGGGTGGCAGTTTTTTCACGGTTATGGGAGAAGTGCCCCGTCAAAACAAAAACAGGGTTGGAAGAATGAACCGCGCCCAGACTTAAGGACGCACTGCACTACCAGGCGTGCAACATCTTGCGCTAGTAGGTGCGTGTGGGAACAGCTGCGGGCATGAGGAGGCAATGCTCTGCGTGCGGGGGCCTCACCAGTCAGCAGTTTGTACTTGAGGATGGTGTCCTTGATGATGTCATAGGTAACGAGCTCCGCGCAGTTCACGATGGCGTTGCGCGTGATGTTGGGGCCGGTGCCTACACGGTCACACAAATAATAATTACACGACTGTCACGCGTGGTCCAACTTAATACGACCATCACGTGGACGAGTGCATGTGAACGTACGACGTCTTATCGTTTTTAAAAGTATTTAAACAAGGCCCATTGAACCATGTTTGTTAAAATGAAGAAGTCCCCGTGAAAAACAAAAGGCTCCCCCACTCCCCAGAAGCCATCGAGGCTGAAGGGGCACGCTGCGACACGAGATTTCCGAACGGATTCTCCGTCTCGCGACATGACACAGACAGCACGACTGCAAGATATTGGGAATGGAGAGACAAAGAGAGCGGGGGGATGCGTTTGGAAAGAAACCGAAGGCTGCACGGCCGTGAATTTACCTTTCCAGAGGCCACGGACGCCCTCCTCCCGTGCGATGGTCTTGTAAGCGTTCATGGTTCCGCTGTAACGCTTGGAGGTGCCCAGCATGTTCACCTGCGCCTGGAATCGAACCTTCACAACATCGGTGGGCTGTGCAAAGGTCACGGCCATCGCACCGGTGGTGCAGCCGGCCAGCAGGCGGCAGCCAATTCCCGCGTCTGCGATGCGCACGCAAAAAAAAAATAAAAAAGAAAGAAAACGTCAACTATGCAAAAATCGCATTAAAATTCAACATCAGTTTTCAAATTCCTCATTTCGAGCCAAGGTGACCTTGTCCTATCTCAAAAGAACAACAGTGGCCAATCTGAGATTCACATATGCATACTCAGCAGAATTCCCCAACGTATTACATCATGTACATTTGTGTGCCAGGCAGTAATACTGTATACCCTCCCTTGGGAGGTATATAAACTACTGAAACTCATTCGCGCTTTGGCAAGAGATACCTGGCAAATGTAAAAATGGTAAACAAAAATAGTTTACTTTCTGCCAATCCACTGCTGGATGAAGGCCTCCCCACACCATATCCGGTTGTAGGGCATGTCAGTCGTGGGGGTTATTTGGCCATACTTCACAGTGCAGGTTGGCGAAGGGAACACTCGGTGCCAATGTCTATAAATCGCTCATCGCCAATGTTAGCTGCGAGCAATAATGGAACTCAGGTCACCGGGTTCTTAAGGTGCGGTGCTTTAACTGCACCACCCCTCCCAGTAACAGTTATTAATAGAGACTTTCAGTGGATTATGACTATTCACAGAGTACAGTCTGAATTAGTGGGCAATGCTTACAAATGGCATATCCAGTCCACAAAGACTATACAATTTACATTACTTTCTCTGTAACCAGGATCGTGTCAACAAGTCTTGAAAACAGCTTACAAAGATATATATATTTTTAAAGAGTCATGTTCCTGGAGAAAACCCATCCACACACAAGGGGGTATCACTCAAGCCTGCACCGAGAAGCTGCTGGAAATCTACTTTCTTGTGAACACAAACTGCACATTTTTCACAAGCAGGTGAGCCTGTTCCATTGCTATTAATATTGAATACCAGATTATTATTTAAACTTGTTTTGTTTTTTACATTGTGGTGAATGTCACACCTCGAGATATACAAATCGAAAACAATCTCTAGATTTGCGGTCCAAAAATAACACGGCCACCGATTTGACTCATTTTAAACTGGCGATTCGAAACAAGGATGTGTGCATTTTACACACAGGATGGTGACGTTACGTGACGTGCAATGCATATTCTCTGGTTCTTCTTTCGGGCAAGGTAATGGAGATGCAGTCACGAAAGTTAAGCAAAAATGCAATGCATTATTGGAGGACACCTATCTTACAGTCACAAGCACACCCTTTTCCGTTTACAAGTCAACGTTTGCAGGCATTGTTAATCTAATTTCCAGCCTCTCTCACACGAGTTCATAATCTCCGACGCGTTCGTAATCATTTGCAGAATGTGTTAAAGTTGGTCTAAAAACCCATCCTTGCGCGTACCGCGAGCTTACAAATTCATTCACGGCCACCGCCGTCCCGCAAAACGATTAAAAAATATATATGCAAAAGCAGCGGCGGCAGCTCACGTTCAGCGCCGTTGGTGTAGAAGTTCTTGACGGAGTCGTAGAGGCCGATGCGGACCGAGGCGAAGCTCATCTGACGCTGCAGGCCGGCGACGAGGCCGCTGTAGAGGCTGCGCGGGCCCTCCGTGCGTACCATTGCCGCGATGGTGCCGAACACGCCGCGGTATTGTACGCCGGCAGAGCGCGCCGCCCCCTCTCCGCGCTGGCACTCGCCCTGGACCTGACGGCGCAAACGCGGGAGATGGAGAGCCGGTCAACGTCGGCAAGCCTTTATTCCGTTGACCCGCGAGCGATTTGCCACGCGCCAAAGTGGACCGCTGGGTAATATAAAAATGGAGTCACTTCCCGATTCTCTCGACCAGCAGATGTTCGGCCAATCGACTTAATTTTGGCAAGCACAAATTATGATTGGTAATACGTGCGTTTTAGGCATTAGGTAAATAAAGGTTTTAGGAAACCCAGTATTACTCTGCAAGCGATGGGTAAATATACCACGTAATACGAGGTCTGGGATTAAAAACTTTTTACCGCTCACCATGCGTCAAAACAAGTCGCCCCATAATCCAATCCCCTCGGCTGCAGTGCCTCCTGACAGACGACGCCGCTCTACCATCGTGATAATAACAACCACATTTGTTTTTCCAGTGCCATAATTTCAGACCGCGTAACGATGCCGAGGCCCTCTGGCGAAGCTCGAGCGTAGGAGGCACACGGCAACTCTCGGTTTAAGTCGACCCTCGAGCAGTATATCTGCGGTGGTGCCACAGCACCGCACTCCGTACCTGCAGGCGGACTTTAGCCGTGTCCAGAGGGAACGTGATGAGGTCGGCAATGCACGCCGCGGTGCCAGCGCCGATGAACTTCACAGCCGCGGTCGGCGGAACATCCGTGGGCCGGAGACCAACCATTTTTCCCCTCTGTGCGAGCGTGTTATGTTGACTTGCGGCGGATATTTTAAAAACTTTTTTTCCACAAATGTGAAAAAAAGCCTTTGCTTTTTAATGTATTTTATAGCACGAAATGAAATGAGTGGAGGGTTGGTAGAGGTGGTGGTGGCGGTCGCGGGACTGATGTAATGAAGATGCAGGTAGGTGTACTCTGCCCGAAATCTGGGGATGACAAATATATATAAAAACAGAGTTTAATAACAATGATTTTGAAATTACGAATTAAAAGTCGGAGCTATGGTTCCGAAATTAAATTCATTTGGAGAATATTTACTCGAGAAAGCATAGCTCAATAACATTCATGACTCCACTTCAGATTAAGACAAAATTCCTGCTCTGGTCAAATTTGTAGTAAACTCATTTTAGTTAAAGCAGCAGCCATTCAATTTAATAAAAGTTTGGGGGGGGAAAATAAATCACAGGATATATTTACAAGACTTGAGAGAAAACCCTACCCTAAATCACTAAAATTTGACGTTTAAATAGGTTCCAGTGAAGAGCAATATCCAAACCAGCCTTGGTCTGCAACTCCTGAACAAGCCCGCACTGACCAGCATAGTGAAGTATGGTCAAATGAGCCCAACGATCAACATGAAGTGGCGAGGGCTTCATCCAGCCATGGATTTACAAAGGACAGAATCATTACATTAACAATCGGGATAACCCTGTATATAACTACATTAAATCACAAGAATCCCATTTTGGAAAACGGAAACCTACTAATCACATTTCGAATAAAAGTTTGGTTTCATTGAGCTCTTAATTTCTCAATGGCCATGACAAATGTTTATCCATAGAGGTTTTTTGGGCTAGATCGCGATCCAACCCAAACAAAAAGACTATTATGGACGATATTGGTTGCGAAAGCTTACGTGTTAAGATGTATATCACATAACACACATATACACCATATGCTTCGTGGCTCGGGCAATTATGACACTCACCACAAGATGACGCTAGAGCATTCGCGACTTCGGCCATGTCACAGATTAAAAGTGCATTTCACAGCAACGTCCCGAGTACGTTTGATTGAACACGTTGCGGCAGCGACTAGAGCAGCCAAGACTGGAGCCTCAAACGAAAACCGAGAAACACGTGGAGGAGGAGGAGGAGGAAGGGTTGGTGATGGTGGCAAGTCCTCACCTTGATGGGAAAGGGTTCTCAGCTCATCAAGACTCCCGAAACGCGTCCCTTTCACTGTAGTGGACCGTTTGGCAGAATTCTTGGACCAGGGCTTCTTCCATAAGAGTGGCGGGGACGCGACTCTTTAAGCGCATAATACGATCCTGTTGCAGCCCGCGAAACACAGCCAGTCCGCTCCCCTGCACAAGGAGGGGGCGAAACAAGACGAATGTTTGCGGCACGCGTACAGTGGCGACACGCACAGCCCTTTCGCGAACCCGCTGCTCGAAGAGGGCCTCCTTTCGCATCCAGCAACGAGGGTGATATCATAAATTGACAATACATTCAAGTTCAAGCACACCACATTGCTTTCATGGTCAATTACACAGTACCTGTCAAAAATAATACATACGGTCGCATCACCGTGATCAGTTGCTCTCAAGTGTGCTTTTAACGTTCAATCGAAATAAAGGTTTAAAAAAAGAAAAAACCCAGGCCTTCATCCAGCAGTGGATTTTAAGCCACTGCTGAAGACCATAATTTACGACAGTTTCCACTTCGGCCAGCAACTATGGGCAAGAGAGCGGGTGGGCGCACCACGCTCCGATCCCAGGCCACGGCTAACATCAGTGGCGAGCGACGGATGATGAGAGCCCCCTCTGATGAACCAGCGCGGTGAAGCAGAAGATCCGAAATGAATTCCCACGACCCAACACCGTTGCGGAGAGGCCACAAGGAAGATCCCTCCTCCATCTTCGCAGCCACACACACACAAAATGTTTTTACTGCTGCACAATTTAATTATTCCGTCCATTTTGCCCGGGTGATCTTCGCGCAGTTGGGCAACAAAAACAGGCAACAACGTTGCCCAACAGCTGTTTTTCCATTGTAGCAGGGGCCGGCATTCAACATGCCGAGGAGGAGCCGTTGATTATTTCTCCTCTCTAATGTGGTTTTAAAAAAAAAACTCAATATTTTAAGAGCCCCCAATGCACACGGTTCAGTTCAGTTTATTTTTGGTATAGCCCTGCGAGCCATTCGGCTCTTGAAACGGGTGCAACCACAACAAACAAAAAACACACGAACAATAAAAACATCTTAAAGTGACTACGTGGTGAACACGAGACGGTGGTCCTTAATAAATAACGTCACGTAGAAAGTCCTTAAAAAATAAGCGCACATTGACGACCCCTGCACTTGAGCAAGGAAGTGGTGCGTGCGGTGTGTGCGGGGAGCGGTGGTGCAGCGGTTAGCGCGCTGCGCCACGAACCCGGCCACCCGAGTTCGATGCCCGCTCACGGCCTACACCCAGTGACGATTGTCTGAACCGGTCCTGGGCCTCCCCTAGGTCGACTCAGCCTCAAAATGAGTACCTGGTGCGGTGTGTAAATCATCGCCACTGGGAGAGACAAAGGCGGCCGGGCGTGGTGATTGCCACCCACCCCCTCGTGTGCCGTGCCGGCCTTCATTAGGCGCTGCTCGCTCACAGCACTTGCCCCGACGTTCTGGGCAGGTTACACGGGGGATCTTTGTCTGTGGGTGCGTGGCACGGTGACTCACGCAGCGCAGTGGCCATGCCAGTCGCGGCCGCAAGCCGGTTCCGCGTTGAACAAAGCGCGTGTCGAGACGGATCCATGGCCAACCACACACACACACTACGGTGTACATACACAGACAAAGACCCCCAGTGTAGCCTTAACAGACTGTAGGGGCAAGTGCTGTTAGCGAGCAGCACCTATGAAGGCCAGCAACCAGGCCCGGCCGCCTTTGTCTCCCCAGTGGCGATGATTTACTACACACACCGCACCAGCTACTCAATTTGAGGCCGGGTCGGCTTAGGGGAAACCCGGGTCGCCGGGTTCGTAGCGCTAAGCGCTGCGCCACCGCTCCCCACTCGCTTGCTCGCGCACACAATCACGATTCGAGCAGGTCTGGCGCACCTCTTACACAGCCCTTTGTTTTAATCCACTGCTAGCGTGCGGCCCTTCCCACGCCTGTGTGTATACGATAGCCTAGCCATGGTGCGCGTTCTGCGCGTTATCCAAGAGAGCGATAACTTTATCGGCCGAGCGGCTCTCCTCCTTGACACAAAGATCACCGCCTTGAACACAAAGATCACCGCCTTGACACAAAGATCACCGCCTTGAACACAAAGATCACCGCCAACATCCTGCACGGCGAGTCCGGAACTACAGTGGCGTGCCACATGCGAGAAGTGGCGCGCACGTGGACAATGCAAGACGAGTACAGTGCACCAGACCCGGCACGTTCTACTTTCAGGCGTCGTGCCAACGTCGGCCCAACGTCTGCACTAGGAAGAGTTGCTAGTACAACGATGTCCCCAGGTCCCCACCATCCCCACCATCCCCCCCAGCGCGGTTGTAACCCGAGCCTTGGCCAAGCCGTTCCCAACCATCGCGAGCACACGCGGAGACACCGGGCGGGTCACAGCGCGGCTTCGGTTACTCACCCCGGGCGAAGACTCCTCCAGCAGGGTGCCGGCGGTCACTGTTGGAGGCGCCGCTAGTGCCTGGAGACCAGCCCGGCGTATGCGAGCTGCTGCTGCTGCTGTGGCGGTGGAAGGAGCGAGATGCCAGTGAGAGGGGGGGGGCCCGTGGGAGTGCTCGACGACGTCGTCCTGTGGGGGCTCCTGCGCGTCCGTCGCTTTTAAAGGCCGGGAAGTGGTGACGACATCGTCCCAGGTCTCCTCCCCTCCCTCCCCTCCCCTCCCTCCCCTCCACTCCCTCCCCTCCCTCCACTCCCTCCCCTCCACTCATCTCCGCTCCTCCAGCCCCCCCAAATCCATGCGTCCCTTCCTCCACGTGCCAACCTCGCGCGCTCTTTTTGCCGAACCGTTGACGATTCAACTGACAGCAAATTTACTTTTGCGTCTTGGAATACTAAAAGTGTTGTTGTTTATTCGAATGTAAGTCGCAGGGTAGAAGATTTGGCTTCGCGTGTCTGCCGTATCACACTCACCTGCGTGTAATACAGGTCTAATAACACGTAGAAGTGAAATAATAAAAGAATACAAATAAAACAATAACATTCTCACGACGTTTGTGTACCCGCTGCTGGATGAATGGTCGTTTCATATGTTTGCATTTATATCGCCAGGTCTCTCTTTAGTCGCAATGATTTATCCCGTAACTGATCATTAAAAGATATTTATATATCTGATAGGCGCAATGATTTATTGGACTGGTCACGACTTGAGTCAGGTCGAGTGATATCTGAAACGCGTCTAAGCTCACCCACTTCCACTCGCTAACCTCTCAACTACAACGGTGGTGAAGTATGGTCAAACAACTCCGAAAAATGACCTGGCGTGGGGAGCCCTTCATCCATCAGTGGATTGACGCAGTGGCCGTGAATTAGTATTGAATGTTTCACATTGATAGTGTCACAAGTTCAAGTCGTAAACACGTTTCCTGCAGTGAGATTGCAACGTCTTTTCATTTTCTCCTGCTCAAGACCTTACACGCAATTGATGGCCTTACGGTTTAAATATCCATATGCAGTAATTGACGCAGGGTGTGATTGCTTAACAATCTAAATCACGGGCATGTATGAACAATTATCGATGTGAAATAGTCTCACCTAGCAGAGATACGTTCCTGGGTTTAATATTTAACTAGGCACATCAAAGTCATGAACCCATAGAATACCTCGCTGATGAGACATTGATCAGCAACGTGGACATTCCAAAAACGCACAAATGCGTGCATTGTCCTTTTCTGATGATGTTTTTTTCTCTCGCCGCTTTCATATTCAAACACGGACACTGACAAAGGAAATGGAAATCAAAGCTGAAGAAGCATCGAGAGACAGAAAGAGGAACGCACAAATTAGAGAGCGTACGCAAGCTAAAAGCATCATTTTTATTGTTAAGGAAATTAAGTAGGCTTGGTCATGCCTCTATCATGGGTAATGTCCAGTGGTCGGCAGTAATGATGATGCAGTGGCAGGCAAGGGAGGGAACGCATAGGAGATGAAGCCTACCGCATGTGCTATGTGGATTGTGGCATCGCACGGTGTGAGGGGTGATGGCGAAGGCTTTGGCAGGCAGGCCTTCTTCATGCGGCAGTGCTGTACGGTAAATTGATCATGGCTGATAATGTAACGTTATTTTAGTGTGTTGTCCTTCCCCCGCACCTTCGATTAGCCCGGTTGGCTACGTACGGTGCGAAAGGAGTTCAACATTTTTGACTTAAAACTTTCGTGACTGCAGGAATTCATATTCTTGGTTCTTTCGGTAAAGTCACGTAGGTAGAAAATAAAAATCTAATTAAAAAAATAAAAGCAAAAAATCCACGACACTTCTATCGCAACACGAGCGGTCTTCATCTTATCTCCGCCTGATGAAGACCGCTTGTGTTGCGATCGAAACGTCGTGGGGTTTTTGGTTTTATTTATTCATAATTTGTATTTTATTTTCTATCTACGTGACTTTGCCGAAAGAACCAAGAACAACTTCAACATTCATACATGTCATCAAAATTAAAACCAGAGAGCAAATTGTTCAGTGTCTCCTGCAGCACTCTTGGTTTAAGGCTGGCTTCATTGGTCTCACAAAGCCTCTTGGTATAAACTACTGTATTACATTTATTGAAAACCTCGCTTTAGTCTCCATAATATATACAGGGCGCTTAAATTTTTTTTAACACTGCTGAGAACTTGCAACAACACCACTAGAAATGTACTGCTGCTTTCGGGCTCTGGGGACCACCTGGAGAATATTCCAGGACACGTGTTGACAAAGATGACCTTTTGAAGCTATTGACATACATTTGTTTTCATGTTATCCGTTCTTTTTTCCATTAAAAACGATAAACATATAAGTGTTAACACAATTTGAAGCACCCTCTATTGCGGGTGAATCAGTGGCGCGGTGGTAAGCTCCACTGCGCTATCATCCCGTCCTACTAAGCTCGATGCACGTACAGTGATTTAAAATATATAACTGATGATATCAACCGATGCATCGTTATACATCAGATGTTATGAATCTCTCCGTCTATAGTGTCTTCCTGTAGAGGGCTGGATGTCAGAAATATTCCATTCAAAGCGCCGCAGCCATCAGCGCCGCCGTCCCACATCAAAAGGCGGAGCAGAGAACGTCCTTGCAAAGCAAGCGGCAGGTGCTAAGCGATGAGTTAATCTGCGCCACGCGTGAACCACACAGAGCTGCACCAAAACCGGACTGTCTTTGTCACGACCCTCTTGATTTGTACTTATAATTGCGTCAACTACTGCGCCACCGTCCCCCCATCCCTTAACCAACTCGCATTGACCAGCGCGGTGAAGTATAGCCAAGCAACGCCATGGCTGACGCGGTGTGCGAAGATCTTCATCTTAGCAGTAAATTGACAAAGGGCTGTACATTAATACGACGCGGCAATTTGCAGCTGTATGGTTTATCAAGTGACGCGTGCGTTTGTGTCCTTTTACAGCAATAAGCGATGGGCTTTTTTGAGACGTTGGCTCGATCCTCCAAGCTTTGATTCTCTGCTATTGTCCACGCATCAGCACGCGTGAAGGCATGGCGATGGCTTGCTGGTTGAAGACTTAAGTCGGCGTGGCAACCAAAAGCGGGAGAAACGATGGAGCGAAATCTGCAATGATCGGGCACGTGTGCGCCTGCTCAGCGGATTGCGACATCACAGGACCGTGGTGGCAAGCGAACGCCTTCATCCAACAGTGATGATGATGGACAAATAACCGAGGTGTTCTTTTAAAAGCACACGTTAAGTAGAAAACAAGCCAGCCACGTGTGTATTGACTGCGGCGGGAGCGAGCGCGTCACGCCACGTGGCCCCGCATGTATTTTTGTACAAGCCTCTACAGCACCGTCACGCGTGTGTCTGCGTGTCTGTTCAAGGGACAGTAAACAGCGTAACACTTGAATGGGCAACACACACGGCTCGCTCAGGCCGCTGCAACTTGAGAATTTCTTCAAAGTAAATGTTTCTCCCGATTGTCATTTGTGCAGCTGAAACATGGCATCAGATTGTTTGCGTGGCTGAGACAAGACACGCGCACGCGTAGAGGCTGAATATGCCACTAAGGGTACTGTTAACTCGACCATGTCCATCCAGTGCCTCGGCGAGCTGCATTGGCTTCCCTTTGCCGAACGAATACATCGCAAGGTCGCACTCATTACACACACAGAAGGCGCTTGCCACAAACGAACCACAAAACCTCGCTGATCTCGCCATAAACCATCATCACGCGCACTCCGCTCATCCTCGCAGCAGCGGCTTTTGGCGAAGCCATCGAGTACAGACGGCGGTCACCGCCATCGCGCGCTTTCAGATGCGCGTCCGAGGCCGTCTGGAACGCTCTCCCTTCCGATATTAGGAAGCCATCAGAGCTATGCACTTTTAAATCTAGTTTGAAAACTAATTTAAAACTGCGTTGTGCGTTAGTTAGTTGTCCTCCCCCCGCACCTCCGATTAGCACGGTTGGCTACGTACACTCCGCAGGAAGTGCAACACACATACATACTAACAAACATATGAATGTCCTGTGAACATCGGTGGCGAGGATAACGATCGTGATTTCATGTGCATAAGCTAATTGGCATGCGTTACAATACATGCACTTTAAATTGAGGTCGTTATTGTAAGGTTAATCTCTCTGAAGACAAAGTGTTGCCATGTCAATGCAGTTCTTTACGATGTAGGAGCAATATAGTTTCGCTGGAAGAGGGCTATTATGAATAGAAGTACAAAGAGACAACATTGTACTGTATCACTACATTTTTACTATTGGCCTATCCAGACAGTAACGCTTATACTGTATTACGCTTATACTGCATTATATATATATAAAAGTATGCATTTGTTAATATTTAATATTCTTCACTTCATTTACTTTTGGAACTTATGATGGATTTGGTTTCTTCCCCTGCCCCTACTTTGTTCGATTGTTATCCAGGTCTCCCTGGGCTTGCTCTCTCATCTGGTGCCGATGACGAACTCGTTGGTGTATGGAATTAAAGCCCCCACCACCCATCCCGGTTTGCTGTGGTCTTCTTGGGGCGGGCATGTTGACGGGTGAGGGCTGACCCATCATGGCTGGCTATTGGAATGTGGGAAACAACCTTATGCCGACATAAACACGTGGGCGAAACAGAACACATTAAATGTTTTGATTTAAAGCTTTCGTGACTGCAGGGATTCATATTGGTTCTTTCGGTAATTTTTTAAAAATATTTTTTATGATTTTATTGTTTCCCTTCTACGTGACTTTACCGAAAGAACCAAGAATACATGTTAAAGGTGTTTATTATTTCTTATTTGGGGGGTGGGGGGGAGTTAGTTCGCGTAAATAAAAATGTGTCGGTTAAACCCGCCACAGTCGATTAGTAAGATTTGTCACGTAAACAATACGTGACAATTAGTTACTAGTTCATCTCACCGGCGTGTTGGAGAGTAAACCCACATCACTTACAGTTAGCAAACCAAACAGAGCACACAGGTCACGGTGGAAATTGGCCATTATATTAACCACGCTCAGTGCATTTTGTTTCAAACTTTTATTTTTTGACGCTGTACAACAACAAAAACCCACGCAAGAGGCCATTCTCATTCAAATACCGCCCGCCTATCACGGTCGCTTTCGACTTTGCATACCGCGAATGTCCACATTAAACGGCACTGTGCAGCTGTTTAAATGTAAATACTAAAAAGCGATTAGTGGCTCACTTTCAAAGGGTGTAATGTACGTTAGCCAACCGTGCTAATCGGAGGTGCGCGGGAAGGACAACACATTTGAAACTCAATAACAATTTAATGATCATCAATAAGCATTTAACGATGTACTTTAAAGTTGGTTTGAATGAAATATAAAATGGCTCGTCACAAATGTGCAGATTTGATGATGGCTCTGAATTAGCTGTACCCTAATGTGCAAATTGCCTGTAATCTAAGGAGGCTTGGTGGCACGCTAACCACGGAGTCAGTTTACACACTCGACGATTTGATTCATACTACAGCTGCATTAGGGAATTCAAATCTAAAATACCACGTGATCATTACCAATGGCTATTGTGTGTGCCCGTGCCAGTGCAAAACACTAACCACACATTTGTAAAGACTCTTACGCCAGTATTGTGTAACCACGGGACTGCAGTAATGCACTTGCCCAAAACAATATCCCGCTGCACCTCGACTCACGTTTCAACCAGGTTCATGCTTGGCATGTTGAGCCAATAACTTTGATTTTGTGTCGAACAAATTGGAGGGCTAAGAGGAAACCCACGCTTAGGAGGGGGGAACAACCGACTATCAAACTATCCAGATAGTTACCTACTAAATGCGAATTGGCCGAGTGATGAGTCGCATAAAATAATATCCATTTTAACATTACAGAGCGTGGAGTCATGCGATTAGCGAACACCTATTGAGTTGTAACGGGATACTACCCGGTGGTTGTGGCACGCACCGCACCCAGGCGTCTCTGTTTCCCCAGTCGCCGATGCTTACACATCACACCCGGGTACTCATTTAAGGTCGAGTCTTGCCACGGGATGGTGTTACTCGTGTCACGTCGAGTCGTAGCACGGTGAGCGAAACCTCGATTCAACACGCCACGCAAACTACCCGCACATTCGCGCGCGTCGTGCCGATATGGCAGCCACCACAAGACGCGTTGGGGTGCAGTCCGGAAGGTGTCCAGTCCCCACCCAATGGTGAAGGGCGCGGGACGTGGGTTCGCTTACGGCCCGCCTCATTTGAGACGCAAGCTCGGAGCTCTGGCACAAGCACAGTTCTTGAGAATGGGAATTATTTCTTGCGAGACAACACGAACGAAAACATTAGACGGTGCATTTTGACGTCAGAGCCAAAACCACTCGAACCAGATTTTCCCAACAAAAGCCACTCGGTACCAAACTTGTTTTTTTCTCTAAATGTTTGCGTTTCTATTTAATTTATATAATTTAACCTTATGGCGGGACCCCGGGGTCCCGAATAAATGTAAGTAAACAATCTTAAAAATGTATTTATTTTTGGCGAGTCTTGCCACGGGATGGTGTTACTCGTGTCACGTCGAGTCGTAGCACGGTGAGCGAAACCTCGATTCAACACGCCACGCAAACTACCCGCACATTCGCGCGCGTCGTGCCGATATGGCAGCCACCACAAGACGCGTTGGGGTGCAGTCCGGAAGGTGTCCAGTCCCCACCCAATGGTGAAGGGCGCGGGACGTGGGTTCGCTTACGGCCCGCCTCATTTGAGACGCAAGCTCGGAGCTCTGGCACAAGCACAGTTCTTGAGAATGGGAATTATTTCTTGCGAGACAACACGAACGAAAACATTAGACGGTGCATTTTGACGTCAGAGCCAAAACCACTCGAACCAGATTTTCCCAACAAAAGCCACTCGGTACCAAACTTGTTTTTTTCTCTAAATGTTTGCGTTTCTATTTAATTTATATAATTTAACCTTATGGCGGGACCCCGGGGTCCCGAATAAATGTAAGTAAACAATCTTAAAAATGTATTTATTTTTGGCGACTCCGTCCCACCGCGCACATAAACGCTGCGACCCACCTGGCGCAGATCGTTCTGTTGTCGTGTCGTCCAAAGCGCAGCAGCGAGGACGAATGCGTAGAAGAAACAAAACTTTAAAACTATGATTAGCGCATCGTGTAGAGCTCGTCGTGAGGAATAGATTGCCGTATCGCTCGCCTTCAACAGACATAAAATGACGTCGCAATGCAGTTTATGCGAGAGCCGGGTCTTATGGGACCCCGGGGTCTCGCCATAAGGTTCAATTACGTACGTCAGTAGAATAGAACAGCTTTTAGAGATGGAATAGCTATTAGAGATGGAATGAACTACCCCGAGCAGCCATATGATTTAAACGAGTACTGTATTATCTCAAGTTTGTGAAGCAACCTGCACCGATTACATAATGCTGGAAACAGTCTGCTTAATGGAAAACAGCTGGTTAAACTGACTTTCGCCAGGTTAAATCAAGTTTCAATATTTCCCAATAACATACAGTACCTGCATTAAATGTAAAATTGAGAATTTTATTTGTTTTCAGTGCAATCACGTTTTATTGAAAACATTTACTTTCTAAAGATCTGTAGGGAAACTATTACATAAAATGTACATCTCTGGGTACATGAAGGAATGTGCTTCTAAAGCAATCAATAGATAAATTTAATTTCTATTTTGTGTTCAACCTATATAAGTATATAATTTAAATGTATAAAATATACACAGTATGAATCTGTAAGATACAGTGAGGGAAAAAGTATTTGATCCCCTGCTGATTTGTACGTTTGCCCACTGACAAATAAATGATCAGTCTATAATTTTAATGGTAGGTTTATTTGAACAGTGAGACAGAATAACAACAAAAATCCAGAAAAACTCATGTCAAAAATGTTATAAATTGATTTGCATTTTAATGAGGGAAATAAGTATTTGACCCCTCTGCACAACATGATTTAGTACTTGGTGCCAAAACCCTTGTTGGCAATCACAGAGGTCAGACGTTTCTTGTAGTTGGCCACCAGGTTTGCACACATCTCAGGAGGGATTTTGTCCCACTCCTCTTTGCAGATCTTCTCCAAGTCATTAAGGTTTCGAGGTTGACGTTTGGCAACTCGAACCTTCAGCTCCCTCCACAGATTTTCTATGGGATTAAGGTCTGGAGACTGGCTAGGCCACTCCAGGACCTTAATGTGCTTCTTGAGCCACTCCTTTGTTGCCTTGGCCGTGTTTTGGGTCATTGTCATGCTGGAAGACCCATCCACAACCCATTTTCAATGCCCTGGCTGAGGGAAGGTGGTTCTCACCCAATATTTGACGGTACATGGCCCCAGCCATCGTCCCTTTGATGCGGTGAAGTTGTCCTGTCCCCTTAGCAGAAAAGCACCCCAAAAGCATGTTTCCACCTCCATGTTTGACGGTGGGGATGGTGTTCTTGGGGTCATAGGCAGCATTCCTCCTCCTCAAAACACGGCGAGTTGATGCCAAAGAGCTCCATTTTGGTCTCATCTGACCACAACACTTTCACCCAGTTGTCCTCTGAATCATTCAGATGTTCATTGGCAAACTTCAGACGGGCATGGATGTGCTTTCTTGAGCAGGGGGACCTTGCAGGCGCTGCAGGATTTGAATCCTTCACAGCGTAGTGTTACCAATTGTTTTCTTGGTGACTATGGTCCCAGCTGCCTTGAGATCATTGACAAGATCCTCCCGTGTAGTTCTGGGCTGATGCCTCACCGTTCTCATGATCATTGCAACTCCACGAGGTGAGATCTTGGATGGAGCCCCAGGCCGAGGGAGATTGACAGTTATTTTGTGTTTCTTCCATTTGCGAATAATCGCACCAACTGTTGTCAGCTTCTCACCAAGCTGCTTGGCAATGGTCTTGTAGCCCATTCCAGTCTTGTGTAGGTCTACAATCTTGTCCCTGACATCTTTGGAGAGCTCTTTGGTCTTGGCCATGGTGGAGAGTTTGTAATCTGATTGTGGACAGGTGTCTTTTATACAGGTAACAAGCTGAGATTAGGAGCGCTCCCTTTAAGAGTGTGCTCCTAATCTCAGCTCGTTACCTGTATAAAAGACACCTGGGAGCCAGAAATCTTTTTGATTGAGAGGGGGTCAAATACTTATTTCCCTCATTAAAATGCAAATCAATTTATACAATTTTTGACATGCGTTTTTCTGGATGTTGTTGTTATTCTGTCTCTCACTGTTCAAATAAACCTAACATTAAAATTATAGACTGATCATTTATTTGTCAGTGGGCAAACGTACAAAATCAGCAGAGGATCAAATACTTTTTTCCCTCACTGTAAGAACCTATTTAGTGCATTCTATACAATCAACAGCCACTGTTAATGCTGCCCAAATGTGTGCAGTTCGGCTAGATTCCAAAACATGATTAGGGTTAAAAGTCGGATCATGAAGGTTACATAAAACAACTTCACTGACATAATGCTTCAACAACTATTTTGAGAAGAACTTTACTTTCCAGGCTGTGGCATTTTGTATCTGTAGCTTGGGAGGCTTTGGACTCCTGGTTCATAGTTTCACTCATACAGCTCTTTTGTCCGTCTACTGCTGGATGAAGGCCTCTTCCTGCAGTGCAGGGAAATTTTGACCATACTTCATCATCACGGTCAGTGCGGCTTGATAGAGGCTGGGAGTATATAGATGCGGGAGCATAG